ACTGGTGGCAATGGGTAGGCCCTGAAGAAAGTAATGTTTACTTTTGAAATGTTTCCATCACCTTTTAGCAGTAGCCCTCAGTCCCTTCCTGGCTTTTATTTATTTTTTCTTTTTTTTCTTTTTTGATGGAACTGGAAGGGAAGATAAAAAGGTATAGTGAACTCTTACTGTGCCAGGCCCTAATTAGTGAAGAGAAATGCCCAGTAAAATATTCTGAATCTATGAACAGCTTGAAGATTTACTATCACTTAGAAATTAGTGAAAAAGAAATGCATGAAAACAATGCAAAAGTTTTGTGTGATCATAAATATGAAACTCTGTATCCTCTTGTATATTTTTACAATTACATCCAAAATTTCTTTTCATTAGATATGTTAATAGTATCAAAGGATGTAATTTCTAGTGTAATATAAAAACTGACATTTTAAAATTAACTTTCATATTAGTCTTTTATGCCTAACTCATATCCCTTTAAGATAAATACTTTCAATAAGCGCCTTTATATATTGCAAAGTTTTAATTGCTTCATATTATCTTTAAATCTATTTCTTTTCTTTTTACCTCAGAATATTACTCTTTATATTTATGCCCCAAAATGTTTATTGATTATCTTGCCATACTTCTCTGAAACAAAACAGAAAGTACACATAGACACTGAAATAATTTAAGAAATTTTAAACATTAGAATGAACAAGAGACTCTGCCTTTAAAAAACAATCTGGATTGAGTTATCATTATAACGAATTAAATAATAGAATTCATTCCAAAATTTAATGAATATTAAACATAAAATCTAAGATTTTACTATAAACACGTCTCTTAAGATGTTAAGTCAACAGGCTTTCTGTTTGTTTTTCAATTGGTCCTGGTATCCAGGTCACTTACCATGTCTTACTACAGTAAGATAGGTTTCAGCATCAATTCTATTTTAATTTTTGGTTTTTACAAGGATACTTAGTGAGAAAATACGTTTACTGAAATGTGTAGATAAGAGTCCAAGAGGTTCTGTCATAGTTGTGTAACTCACCTCTTTGAACTATGCCTGAATTAAAGTCTGTGTGTCACTTATCAGATCTGTAACCTTCCTCAGACATCCAGTTATATATGTATGCATGACTCGTACATGTTACATCAAAACTTCTGTTTAACAAAGAGCATTGTCTTAGAATGTCCTTAGCACCAAAATGGAGTGTTTAACCTTTCTAGAAAGTTATAGTTAAATGAAGAAGGCCTTATTATAACACCATATGACTTAGGTAAAAAGATAAGCTTGTATGCTAAATGATTGTCAGCATTCATGAGAACAATCCCTCTACTGTCCTCTAAAAGAACACTGAAAACTGCTACCATCCCTAAGTAAATTTTCGAGTCACCAATTTCCATTGTATTTATAAAGACTATCATTTAAATATCCTCAAATAATATAACCATGATGTTATTTTATTTTTAACCAAGTATTTCTTTATTGCTTCAAGTGTCCATACTCCTAAGAGGAAACAAAACATAAATTCAATTTCTATCCTGTTTCAAACTCATAACCTGCTATTAATGAATCTGACCTATGAAAACAAATTCCGTGTGTGTGACATCAGTATCCGGCATGTGATGCTATTGGATTTGTAAAAGAAGATACCATTTTGGATCCAGAACAATGTTTTGGTTTTAGCTGAGGCATGTTCCCAAACTACATTCTGGTTCTGTTTCCAGATCCATTAGTGATAATAATGTGATTTCATGTTCTGGAAACTCTACTGGTCAGTGGTTTCAGAAAAAGAGGTGGTGGTTCTTCTTCCATTACATATTGTGAGGCTTAACTAATGAGTGTAAAGCAACTGGAGAGTGTCCAATAAAAGCCTCCACAGAAGGTGAATACTCCCAGAATTATGTAAGCACTGCACGATGTGTCATCTCAGCTGGTTCGGCTGATTAAATTGTCAAGTCATTGTCAATTTGACTTGATTGTTGAGTTCCTCTGGAGAAACAAGGTCCAAAATGGAACTGGTCTTACCTAGAACATGGTATATACCTGGAAATGCATCTCAGCAAGATGTGTGTGTTTGGTAAGAAATTACTTTTTAACTCCAATTCAGGTGCTTTCAGAGCTGTCTGATCACAACTAAAGTAAGCTCAGTAATAAGTGAGGTATTAAATTTATGCATAGTTTTCATTTTACAACTTGACTTCCAAATGAGCTCATGACAGGGAGGGTAAACAAGGTTTATCTCTGGGGTCAGTTCTAATCAATTGGTTATGATTGTCAGGAGGCCAATAATGAATAGGATTCCGAGGCCAAAGCTGGGGTCTTCAGAAAAGAGGGTCATTGAACTCTGACTCTTGTGGCAGTGAACGCAGAGATCTGTAGCAAAAGTGCATTGTAACTCCTGTGTCTGTGAGGCCATAATTACTATGGTCAAGTGGAAAGTGGTAATGATATTCATACACATATCTAGGAAAATCCCTAAGGGTATGGTACACCAATCCTGCCAAGTCATGTTCAGTTCTCAAAGTACAGACAAAACACTTCTCTCAGTTGGATTTTTTCCTAGTAACAGGCAAATCTAAAAATACCAACTGAATTTTAAGCTATTGCTCAGTAACAGGTTGTTTGATCAAATTTAGCTAGCTTTTCTTCAAACCAGTGCAGACACAGCTTAAATATCCTTTGAGTGAATATTTTTTAAGGGTTGACTTAATTTCTAATCAAACTCTGAAGGGCCTTTGGGCTTCAGAAAAGTTAAAACTATAGAATTACCTTGTTCTTTCTTGGGGCCAATTAACTGGGCAGATTCTTTGCATTCAGTTGAAGTCCCTGAACCTTAGCTAAAGTTTCATTTTCTCGCTCAGCAGTTGGAAACCTATCTCTCTGCGCAACAGAAACTAAGCCTGAACCTCAGGAGCACAGAGCGAAGCAGACCTTGGCGCCGGTCCCCCCAGTTTGATGTGCAGACTACCCCAGAAAGTGCAGTTTCACCCTTATCCCTTTCAAAAGCCATGAAAGGAAGTGGAGGAAGTATGCCAGGTTGTTACTCAACTCTAGCATTTAATCAAGCATTACCCAGGCTCTTCAGAAACTCTCCAGCCTCTAAATTGAGAGTGAAAACAAAGGGAACACAGGATGGAAACTACTTAGCTGAGCCGACTCCCAGGATTACTCAGGATCATGCGGCCACTCTCAGGCAGGGCCCAGTTATTCCCTGAACTTCTGAAGGTCAGCAAGAAATCCCACCTCAGTCCTAATGATAATTTCTGACTTAACATGTCTCACAGCATCCTCAAGGATCCAATACACACTAATTCACTTTGTGTTAAGTGTGACTTTTTATTTTATTTATTTATTTATTTATTTATTTATTTATTTATTTATTTATTTATTTTTGATGTATACCCAGTTTACAACCCTGTGTTCATTTCTGGTGCACAGCATAGTGATTCAGATATACATATATATTATTTTCACATTCCTTTTCATTATAGGTTATTACAAGGTATTGAATATTATTCCCTGTGCTACACAGTAGGACTTTGTTGATAATCTGTTTTATATATAGTAGTTAGGATCTGCAAATCCTCAACTCTCAATCTATCCCTCCACCCCTGTGACTTTCTATAAAACCGATGTCAGTGCACTGTAGATGACACTAAATGACCCCACCACACTCTCTCCATGAAGGTTTTAAGTACACAAACAGGGCATCCCCACTAAGGGAAAGACTTGTTTATGAGTTGGGAGAACAGCACGGGACTGGCACAGAGCAACAGGTGCAGGACCTGATTCATTCTGATTTCCTCACCTGCAAGGGAGGAACCTGGCATGTGTCAGAAATTCCTGGTATACCAGGGGCCATTACTAAAGTCTTTGTCTTTTCTCCCTCCCCCAACGTAAGGCAAGAAATGGATGTCCTTTGTTTGCCAACACTCAAGAGAACTAGCCTGCCCTGAAGTCAAAACAACCAACCTATGAAAGCTGGAGGGTTGGGCTTTTTCCTTTCTTTTTTTTAAAGGTCTGAATGAGGTGATGCTGACAGCTGAGAAGCAGGTCAGTCAAGTTTTGGGTGCTCTATTACACAAGCAAGACACAGCCAGCCCCACTTAATTTTGTTTCTCTGGCACCCTCATGCTCAGTGGGACATCGGTACACTTAACCCATCTGCCTTCTCTAATGCACGGCGACTCATCCAAACCAGAACAGCTGTGATATATTTCAGTTCCTGTTTGTAAACACTTCTTAGACTTGAAGGTAAGTGTGTCCTGGATTACATAGGATCCTTCCCTCTTCCCCTCTCTCTCTCTCTCTATCTCTCTCTCTGTTTCTTTCTCACTTATGTACCAAAGAAAATCAAAGCAGGTTGAACTTTTGACAGAACAGTCTGGCAAGTATCTGCAGAGACTCTTGTAAAGACAGGTAGTTGTTCCATCAAGTAATCACCTCCAAAATGAGCACTTGCACTGAGTTCACTTTAAGAATTATTGCCAAATTTGCTTTATGATGAAACCTGCTGAAGAGTTAAATAAAACCCTTGCCTAAAATGTACATGAGTACAAGAGAGTTTCCTTAAGTCAAATCTTAGTAAAAGTTTCAAAATGTTTAAAGTAGAAGTGACTGCATGAATATAAGTTGAATACTTAGATTTAAATTATGCATTTGGCTTAAAGAGCAGTATAATATGATAGCTTTTGAAAAACAATCTGCTTAATACAATGAATTACAAGCTCCCGTATATCTCTTCCAAAGATTTTCTTAATTAGAAATTGACAAAATGTTGTGTATATAATTATTTTACTTTGCATGCTACGTGTCCATGTACAGCGCTTGTTGGCAATCTGAAAATCTAAGCCAGCTGTTGCAGGAGACACCCCATAGAATAAAGATATGGGTGAAGTTTCTTAAAATTATCTTCAACTTGTGGCTGTGAAAGGCTTCTTTTACTAAAGGGATGTTGTTTTACTGTTTACCACTTTCTAGTCGATCCATGGCAGCTATTCGGCTGTTTCCATGGACAGTGAAACAGGATAGAAGGACAGAATTCCCATGTTTGGGAATTTGGGTCCAGAATATTTCCTTTGGAGACACAGTCTCACTAAGCTTAACACTCTTCCACCTAATTATCTCAGCACCGATGTTTATGACTGAGAGTGCCCAGGTTAGCAGGAAGTAGGACATGCTACATGATTTCCTGGGCTTATGCTACAAGATTTCCTGGGCTTATGCATCCCCCAGCCCTTTAATGAGAATGATGCTCACCAAATTTGATATTTGGTGTTTTATTTCCCGAAGGAGAGTTATGTTTTTCTTTTTATTTGTTTCTTTCTTTTAAAATCAAATAAAGATATGCCGAGAGTCCTCAGGCATAAACAAACCTCTGACTAGTCTTCTCACCCTTTCAAAACCCTCTCACAGGAGAGGCATTTCTAGAAGCGTAATTCCTTATATCTCCCCTTACGGTGGTCCTTTCATTCAGGGAAAGCAAAATACTGTCCAAGATTGGAAAGGCCACTCAGAGTAACTCTTAAGTTCTGCCTGAGAACTCCACGTTAGACTGAGTTTCTTATGACAAAGACAAACAAAATTCAACTGCCCTAATTTGTAGCTAGAGATCTGTAACAAAAACTATTCCAGGCAGCTGAGAGGGAAGAAGCACGGTGTATATTCTTTAGTCATCCTGCTACAGAAACATGTTTTTATATCATCCCCGGTGTACCTAAACTAATGTTTTTATTTAAATCTTCTGATTTTGATTCGTTTAGAAAGACTGGCACTTCTCTTCTCTGGCGTGGGCTGATTATCTGACACAGACCAGGGTACCTCCTTATTTTTTAAGCTTGATGTAAAATGGGAATTACTCAGTTACAACAGGAAGGCTGGGCAGAATAATAACTTTACGAACTTAAGAAGGAGCAATATTATACACAGTGAATGTGAATTTGCTTCCCTTAATGGCCACAGTTCCCCTGCCCCACCCCTGCCGCCGCCCCACCACCTCCTGCAGCCCCGTATACAAAAGAAGTAATAGGAAACCACTTTTTAGTGCCAACACCAAAGACAGGGGAGAACATAGTGTTCATTTTCTTTGTATAGAGGAATTATTTTTAAAAATAGTGAAATTCACACTCTCTGAAAGTCTTTTTCAAAGTCTAAGTATTAGAAATAGTAAAAAGAATATATACAGAGAGACTTAGAATCTGTGTTTAAGGTATCACAAAGTGGATGGAAATCCTCCTCTCCTTCTGTTCTCTTTATAATCATTCTAATCTTAGACATCATTCAAGTCTGTAATGATTTTGGCTCTGTTCCTATGAGCTCAAAATTCCTCTGAGGAGTTTCCACCTAGGGGTAAGAAGAGGCAAAAAACAGGGGGAGAAATGATGCTAACCTAGTTCTCCTGGTTTTCTCTCTCTCTCTACAATTTCACTTTTCTTTCACCCTCACATTCTGTCTGCCTCCACCAGGCACCTGGTTGACTGATGAACTTGGGAACTCACAGGCATGCCACGCATCCTCCAGTATAACTTTATACAACACATATACAACATAGTGTAAATATCTTAACTCCAGAGGTGGAGAGAGACAAAGCAAAGTGTAAAGGATACAAATTTCTTTCTTTTATTGCCCTCTGTAGCTTCTGTATCGCCACCATTAAACTTCCCTGCTTACAACACGCTTTGTTCAATTCAGAATAGTGTCAAACGTAACCAAAATTGCCTCGTCCTTGTCCCAGCAAAAACCTAGGGCTGGGCTCCGGAAGAGCCGATGACTTCAACTCCTCTGCTTCTGTCCCTTTGAGACAAAGAGATCTGAGTAAAAAGCATAACCTGGTTCTCTTAGAAGCCAGAGAGAAGAAGCAGAGTGGTCCCCAGCTGCCATGCTGGGGCAACAGGAACAAATCAAAACCCACAAACACCTTACCCACAACTGTATTAATTCTGGAATAAACTGCAAATAGTATTCACAACAAACCGTGCTACTCCTCTTCCTTTTCTCTCTTTTCCCTGGAAATACATTACAGGCAGTAACAGAATGCTTGGCTCATTGAGGGTGTTGGCATCTCTGGTTTTCAAGTTACAATCAAAAGCTGGGTGAAGGGTAGAGAGATCCCCCTGGTGGTTCCATGTTACAGGCAAAGTGAAACAGGAACAACAAAACTCACTTGGTTGACTCCTGGTATGTGGATTCCCATTACATGCAGGGAGCAAAAGCTCTATGCCATGTTCCTCGTGCGACATTATGAGAAAATTAGAACAGGTGAGGGTTGTTTTCGTACCCCCTCTGGTGACACTTCATTCGAAAGAGAAAATAACCAGAAAGTCTAGGTATAGGGAAAGCAAATCAAACTCCCCAACGCTGTGACAGGTGGCCAAGTACAAAGAATAAACGAACCAGACCACGGGCAGTAGATCATGCAAAAGGCTACAAAGTTTGCTATGAACTTGACAGCGTTCACAGGAAAGAGCTGTTTCTGAAAAGGTACATGTAAGTATTTTTTAAACAAAACTGAACAGTATTTTAAATGTGCTACGTGAGGTAACACTTTAAAGAAATGTTAGTGAACTACAGGTCCTGGGGATAAACACTCCTGTTTTCTTAATCTGTAAATTGCATAGTGACAGTGTCTGTCCAGAAACGATGGAGACAATCACTGGGATTTTTTAAAGTAGGATAGAAATGTGTTGAGTACGTTTAAGAAAAAATTAAGGTAGAAGTCCCTATTTTTCCACTGTTTAAAAACATAAGATTATCAACTGCTCTGGTTAAAATAATAAAGTTTGGAGAACCTGTGCTAAGAAAATGCTTGAAGGAAAAAGTTCTAAAAGATAACAGGGTACCAAATTCTATGGGATGAGTGATTACTAGCTTTTAATGCCAACCTTTGAATCCTAACCTGATCTTTCAGCCACTAGCTATGTCTCCTTGAATACACTGTTTACATTTTTATGTCCCATTTCATATCCGTAAAATGGGATTAATAATCCCTTCCTCATTGCTTGATTATTTTAAGAATTAAATGAGAAAACATGCAAAGCATCTGATATAATAGATGCTTAAGAGTAATGTCTTCCAGCTATACAAACGATTTTTAAGATCTGAATGAATTGTCTTGATTATCACAGAAGAGTGAATGAAATATAAATAAACTAATTATGACAAATATAAACACCTGTATAATTCCTCCCACGTCAAGACAGATTATCAGGAGCACAGACACCTGTTTCATGCTCACCCAATCAATACTGTCTCCTCTCTTCTCACAAGTAACCACATCCTGACTTCTAACACTCTAGTTTGTTTTGCCTTTTTTTTTAACTTTATCTACATGGAATCACACAGCACAACTGGCATTTTAAGCTCTGTATTATGTCTGTGATAATCACCCGTGTTACTGTACGAGCTCTAGTTTATTTTTCATGCACAAATATTTTGCAATGTATCGCCCAGTCTGTTACTGATGGGATGTTTAGGTTGGAGACACTTACAAATAATGCCCTTATGAATGGTCTTGCATGTCTGCCTGCTTGCTTTTTAAGTAGAATTTTCTTAAGTGATAGGCACAGGGCATGGAAATTATTCTGTTCCTTAAACCTTAGAAATTCACAGGCATCTACAGCTTTTGAAGAAAACTATTATATTAAGATGTGTTATAGATATGTTTAAGTTGTACCACCATGTAAGAAATCATTAAACAAGGAGGCGGGTACTTAAAACCAAGCAGTAATCACAAGGAGTATTTAGAGGTTCCTTAGACCCTAATGAAAAATCATGAAGTTAGAAAATTCTGTGAAAATTTCTGGGAAAGCTTTTAAGAAATGGCAAGTAATGCTGAATCTAATAATCACAGTTGCACCTCCTCCCTTTTCTTATCTCAGTCATTCTGGAGGCTTTTAGTGAAAAATAAGCTCTAAGGTCTGATTCAAAGAATACAAAGTCAGTTCTCAGATCTTACTGTTTGAGGAGAAATAGTCTAATGTTTTTTGAAGAATTATTTTTCCATTTAAAAACACTTTAAATTTTATCACCCATTTAGGTTGGAGTCAGTAGACCAACTGGCTTTCAATGCTGCCTTTTCCATTTATTAGCTTCCATTATTGGCCACTCTGAACCTCAGTTTCTTCATTTGCAAAATGGGGATAATACAAGCTACTCACTTTGTCTCACAGGATCAGTGTGAGAATCAAATGAGATGATATTATAAATTGTAAGGCGTTTATAGACATATTATTATAGTCTAAAATAAGAAATGTAAGTTAATGTCTATTAACTGCTTACTTTAGATCAGATATTGTTTAGAGTACTTCTACTTAAATCATTTCATTTAGTTTGGAGAACACTGTGAAGTCAGTATGATTATTATGATATTGATAAAGCAACTGCTTAATATACTGATTGTTTTTCATATATTATTCATGATAGAAGCCAGAATTACAATATAAATATAATTGCAAAACCTTTTCCCCATAGCCTTCTATCTATGAATTGTGGCACTTCCATACTTAAGAGGCAGAATGACGTGGCTGGAGTAGAGGTCGGAACCATGGTTTCAAACACCAACTCTGCCACTGTCTAGTTAGGTAATTTTTTCCACACATACTCCCAACTAGATTCTTCATTTCTACAGTAAGAAATTACAGTGAAAGAATCCTAAAATCGAAAACTGTTTCTGACTTTATGTAATTTGGAATTAATCGGAAAAAGTGCAACATAAAGTAAAAATATTGTTTAAAAAATGTTGAGTTCAAATTAAAGAAACTCAAATTAGGAACTAATAAAATGTTTTCAAGTTCATGATTGATTCACTTTAAAGTGATCCGTTTAGTGTATAATCAATAACACCATTTTCATAACAAATATTTCAAATTACATCTCTATAAAGAACATGTTTTCTTAAATAGGTTGAAGAAATGAGCCAGCTCTACATGCTCTATATTTATGATACTTAAAAATTTTTACTTAGCATTTCATAATATGTGTGTGTATATGTATTTCAGCTTTTCCCAAGTGAAATGAACTTTGAAATAGTAAAATAGTAGTGTCTGGCTTGACAAAGGAATCAGAGAGAGAAAGAGAGAGAGAGAGAGAGAGAGAAAGGAAGAAAGAAAGAAAGAAAGAAGAGAAGGAAGGAAGAAAAAGAAAAAGAAAGGAAGAAAGGAAGAAAGGAAAGAAAGGAAGAAAGAAGAAAGGAAGAAAGAAAGAAAGAAAGAAAGAAAGAAAGAAAAGAAGAAAAGAAAAGAAAAGAAAAGAAAAGAAAAGAAAAGAAAAGAAAGGAAGATTATAAAAAAATAGAACTCAGTGAGATAGAACTTAGTGACTCTGCTTTTAATAAAATCCAAAGAAAATTTTTGGAATAAAGAGTATGCTATTATCATCTCAGCATTATGTCTCTAGATTTTTTTTAATCACTTTAAACATGTAGATCTATTAAAAAAAAAACCCTCAATACTTTAATAATTCCAATGGTTATTCTTTTCTTTCAGATTCTCCTTATTAACACTGATATCAAGGAAGGAAGGCTACAATGTTGATCTCAGCCCAAATTGTGCTGATTTCAACTTTGTTTAGTTCACTGCTATTTGGAAGCCATGGGGAAGAAGGTCCAGAAATGAACACAACACAAAGCACTGTAGAAGGCTTAAAAACAAGGGGAAATCAATCTGTGCCTTTGGAAAGTATAGCAAATTTAACCTCAGATAAAGAAAACAGAGAAACCTCCAACCCCAAGGCAAGTAATTCCCCTCTTGGGGAGCCATCAAATAAAACCCATGGAACAGGTTTCTACCATAATCTGTCAACAGACAACCTTTCCAGGGGTCCGAGACCCACGCCCACATTTTCCCCGAGCCCTCCCTTGATCCACAGCTTTGTTTCTAAAATGCCTTGGAACTCATCTGTAGGGGATAAGAATCCTCTGCCAGCCTCAGCACCTCTCAATGCTACATCCACAGTATCTTCCGAAAATTTCACTTGGTCTCTGGTCAATGATACCATGAAAGCTCCGGACAACAGTTCCATGACAGTCAGCAACCCCCCTGCAGCGCCAAACACCACTTCTGTGACCTTCCTAATAACGGAATCAGACGGCTGGCCTACCACAACCGGAGACAGCTTGGTGGGGTTTACCCCCTATCCAGAAACAACTTTACGGCCCACCTTGAAATTCACCAACAACTCAAAAATCTTTCCAAATACATCAGACCCCCAAGAAGGTAAATATAAATGGATTTAACTTTCCTTTTGTGTGAAACTGAATTTCCAAGCCATTACATCTAAGGACTGTGTACTAGAAGAAAAGGAGGAGACTGCAATTACACAGGGAGTTCTCACTTTGGCGGGGCAGCCACGCTATGCACAGGGCACAGTGAAGGGATTTCAGGACGTAAGGCAGCATGTACCAGTCATTCCTGCGTGGGAATGTGATGAGACAGCAGGACAAAAATGAGTAGTAGGGTGAAAAGAAACAGAAACAGGCAGTGGTACAGTTTTCAGATACTGGGTGACAACATTTACTGCCTCTCAGAAAGACTACCTGAAATTTCACATGCTTCTAGGAATACAATACAACTGAGCTTTTAAAATATATGTATGTGGGTTTCGAAAATAGAATGAAATAAATACATTTAAAAATTATTTTGAAACCACATATTAATCACAGGAAGGTAGAACACTGATATTAAATAAAAAATGTAAGCTCAACAGAAGGCATCCTCCTTAATTTTTTAGTTCAATACTTACTGAACACCATAAAAATGGATTTTAGCTGTGAGTATAACAAGAAAATTGTGTTATGGAGACATTTCTGTTTCATTTAGGGATTAAGTCAAGCTTCAAAACATAAAGTGGAAAAGATCTCTCATATTTAATGAAAATTCATTATATTTGATTTTTTTCAGGTCTAAGCACACTTTTCTGAATCAAAAAAAAATATTCTTCTTTTTCCCTCTATGAACTCACTGATTTCCAGTGTAACCTACCTACAGATTATATTAATAATGCAAACACTGAATCATATATACAAATTCCTGTTTAAAAGTTGTTGTCAGTGTGCAGGAAAAGTTTTAAATTCTGAAATCTAGCCTTTATTATGGTGCTACAACCAATGTATTGTATGTACATATATTTTCATAATTTAAGACACCCTTCCATTCATACATACTCTAATATTCCATCAGAAAATGTTCTTTAAAATATTGTTTTGTCTTTCTAAACACAATATACATATTGAAAATATTGAGTACTTACTCCTACCATTGCCTTTAATCAAAAGAAACCTTAGTTAACTTTGTTTCACTTTTATTTTAGTAAAAATTGTGCTGTTAACCTTCCAGCATTTTTTTTTCATAAATGGGGTCTGAAATTGAATTAGAGACCCTAGAAGACCCCTTGCCTACCTAATTAATAAGCTTCTCAAGAATTTTTTTTTAAAGCCTGAAAATAAAATGCCCTAAGTATGAATCCAGGGAGCATTAAGTGGTTTATTAACAACTTTGTCTTCCAATAAGGAATCTGGTAAAGGGAATGATGCAGTGAAATTTTGGACTCCCTTAAGCTCAGACCTACACATGTGTTTGCAATGTGCAAGGCATTGCAAACATTCTATTTGTTGTATTTGGAAAAATCCTCAATCGGGATATACTTCTATTTCCTCATAACTAGTCTTTTCACTTGGGGTTTGTGGATTCATTTTCTATTACTCACTTACTCCCATTAGCTTTTTACTTTTGAATTATTATAGAGACAAATTCAAAGTTTATTTCCTCATTCAATTTCATCAGAGATTTAGAGTTGATTAAAACCTTAATACAGAATTCAGCATAGAAATTAGATATTAACGGAGCATACACTTGGCATTTCAGTACTAATGGTGTCAATAAGTAGTGAGACACAGTTATAAAACTAAGGCTTAGAAGTATTTCGAGATAATTCAAATTTTGAAGTACAATTTTATCAGGAAGTATATTTTCCAATATATCCTAAATACTCAGTACTTTATAAACGCACCACACACCATATATATATTATATATAACCATTGCCTAATTAAAAATAACAGTATTAAACATGCTTTGCTTACAGAAAGTCCACATGTATATATTTCTGTTCTCTGAATAATTATTTTCTATTTCTCATCTGTAAATTATTTCTTCTTTGTTCTCTAGAGAACAGGAATACAGGAGTAGTATTCGGGGCCATTTTAGGTGCTATCTTGGGTGCTTCGCTACTTAGTCTTGTTGGCTACTTGTTGTGTGGAAAAAGGAAAACAGACTTGTTTTCCCATCGGCGACTTTATGACGACAGAAATGAACCAGGTAAAACACAACTTTCAGAATTTCACCTGCACACAGTGGTTTTAATTAAGTGAGGTCACTGCATTACCTAGAAGGCATGTGGAGATTCATTCGACAGAAACAAAGTAAAGATTGATTCTGATCTACTCTCTGTTTCTCAAAGAACATAACCAAAATAATTATGGACCTGTCAGTGGAATTTTAAAGCCATATTGCTCACTGCATCACAACTGGTTTTAAGTAATAATCCCAGAACCTAAAACATACCCTTATAATTGAAAGATAATGGTATAATATTAAGAACAAAACGGCCAGTTTTGTTAGCAAGTACCTGCAGAGTCATTCTTTACTATTGTTGAATCTCTTAGTAGCAGTAATTTGAACAATCATTTATTCTAATTGGGAGCTCTTCCAAAGTTTACATATCTACAATAGCTCTCTGCTAATTATCTTAATGAGTCTCTAAACAGAATCGCTCAAGAGTTGCATATTTGGGTACACACAGTTACAATATACTTTAATTCAGAAAGTTCTCAGCCATGTGATGGTAAAAAAAAAATCTATCTATGGATGAGAAATGCATCTGCTAGGAATAAAGTTCTGAGGTGCTGAGTTAGATCTTAATAATACTATATTGATTAGAACAGAAATGATATCTCTTCAAATGACTGACTCATCTCTTTATTTTACATTTCAGGACAAAAAAAAAATCTGTTTTCTGGTGTACACAAGGGACTCTTGCCACCATAAAAAACAGTTAAATGCCCCTGTTGGGTCCCACTAATAAAGTCTTGTTGATTTTTGATAAGTTCAGATCATTAGTGACATACTGTTAATTTGCAGAACCATTAATTATAAATTTAACTGAATTCTGTTTATGGATTTCTAGCAATCCACAGAAAATAAAAAGTGCCACTTTTCAAAACTGAAGGACAGGATTTCAATCAACAGGCATTTCCAAACTTTTTCTTTTAGTTTCAGGATATTTTCTTCACATGTAACCACATGCAAAAGCTCAGTCTATCAGCCTGATCCAATCTAAGATGTTGTGATTGAGGCATAATAAAATAATTCAGTCACACCACCTGACTTACTCCTTCAATGAAGCTTTGAGACACTTCTTCCAAATCTCCAAAGGTTCCTGGGAGCCCAGTTTGTAAACAGATGGCTTAAGGAAAAGTAGGACATGAGAATACGTAGCTGAATAATTAATGACTCGTCTGTCTAATTAGTAATTAGTCATTGCTTTAGTATTCAGATACCTAGTACATGCCAAAATTTTTTAAAAAACAAACTCAAGATCATTAAGGAAATAACAGTTGGCTGTTTGTTAAGAGAGAAAAAAAATCGTCTATGTTATTAACCAGAAAACCAGAAGTACATGATAACTCAGATCTATCAGAAGGAAACAAAAGGTTTTATAAACGGTTTTCTTTCATCTATGTCTTCAGTGGCTCACCCATGAACATATTAAGACACTTTGATTTTAAAATTAAAGCGCTTCACTTTTTAAAACTTACTTTTACACCAGAAGTAAAAATTCTGAACATGTTGACAAGACTCTGAATTCATAAGATTCAAAAGTCAATGAGATGTCAATACTGCTTTATATGAAGTATAGCTTTACCTCTGTTGTGAGCTCTCCCTTAGTTCCTTCATTTTTGGACTAACAGCAGTGAAATTTTGGAAGTTAAAACTGTTCTTAGTTATAGAAAACAAATTTGGCTTGAAAAATATCTACATATTTAAAAATTTAAAACTAATATCTGAAAAGCCGATATAAAAAAAGTTATTTACTCAACCAGAATAATTCCTACAGTCTAGCAGATGCTTAAGCATGCAACTTCCAGACTGTCACTGTAAAACAATTCTTTTCCGTTGCTTTTTTTTCAGTTCTGCGGTTAGATAATGCACCTGAGCCTTACGATGTGAGCTTTGGGAATTCTAGTTATTACAACCCAACAGTGAATGACACATCTACGCAGGCAGCCCAAGAAAATGCACGGGATGGCATTCCTATGGATGACATACCTCCACTTCGTACTTCAGTGTAAAAAACTAAGGGGAAAAAGGCTTCAGTGACAAATGCTCCCCTACATCCTGGCCTTTTCAAATCCAGCTTCCAAAGGCTGAAGCAAGACCACTGTCGTGTGGCTTGTGCCAAAGAGAACTGTAAAAGCATGAGGGCAGTTGCAGAAACATAAAGACAGGATAAATCATCCAAAAGGTTTCCTTTCTTACCATTTCTGACTGTGCTGAATCATCTACTGAGTAACTGCAACTTGTATTTTTATTTTTTCTTAGTAGGAAATGTTTATGGAATCAGGTAAAACTAAAAGATTTCACCATGACGGCCCTGCCTGATAATGTAATTTAAAAATCCTTCATTGACAATAGGAACCCAAAACTACATATTTACTTTTTGAGGGGAGGGGGCAAAAACCAATGGATTGACTCTTCACTGCTCCCCACTGTGGTCCACACATCAAAATGCCACACACCAAGACTGGCATTTTCCTGAAGGGAAATTGGAATGGTGATTTTCTTTTTTTTTTTTTTTTAATTTTTGACCTAAAGCTAGAAAGAGTATGGTACAGAACTTCTGTTCTTGGGAAATTAAAGTAATGCGAGTGAGAGACTTGTATTCTAGTGCATTTCACTTTTCTGTATCAGCAGGTACACAGTCCCCTTGAGTTGCCAAGTTGACAATGACTTCGCATTCAACAGATCATGGTATGAAAGCTGACCCAAACCAGGAAAGTAATCACTTCTCTTCAAAGCATGGGAGATTCCAATCTGTGATTTACTTTAGACTTTAATTAGTTGGGTTCTTTAAAAACTCAGTGAAAAACATGGTGAAAAAAGTCAGCCAATTCATATACCTGTACATAATTTTTATAGTTTTAAGATGTTAGCTAGGAACAGGATTTATTTTGTATTAGACATTATGGCTCAATCATATATGGAATAGATTCTGCATCAATGAATGCATAAAATGTAACGTAAAAATATAGATGTATGGAAGCAACAAGCAAATAAATCATTTTCTGAGCATCACTTTCACAAGGGAAAGGACAAGAGGCTTAATGTGGAGTCTGGTATGTTTCAGTTTGTCTTTAATTATTGCTTGTTTTTGTCAGGAAAAATACATTCCGCAGTATGGGAAGGTTGAGGCTTTAGGGATTAGAGGATTAGATCAAGCGCTCAATTCCCAGAGAAGCAGTGAGTATTTGAAGAGGGCATACGGAACAAGACTTTGTTGTTGAATTTGTACATGGTACGTGTGTGTGTGTGTGTGTGCACGCGCGCGCGAGAGAGAGAGACAGAGACAGAGAGAGAGAGAAAAGAAACACAGCAACAGCCTCAGAAAATGAGGGCTAGGAAGTAAGTAATAGAAGGACACACTTACCCCATATTGCCATAAAAATAGCAAAGAAGACTGTCCCTCCATTGTCAAATAGATAAGTCACCTTAGAGGAAAACAAAAAACCAGTCACACTGCTGATTATAATAATCCAGTGATTACTCTTTGCATATACGTACTATGATTTTTTTTCCCCAATGGAATCACATTATTTTATAGTTTGCAAACCTAAGATATGCAGCCCTGTCATGCACTCTGCAACTGTTTCACGTGATTTTTCTCATGGGGAATGGTGAGGAATCAACATTATTTCCCCCTCTTCTTCTTTCTTCCCGTTGGACTCTACCTTCATTTCTGCTTAGAAGTGGTTCTAGCCCCATGAGGAAGTATTTGTGGGCCACGAATAGAAGCTAGAGAGTGAGCTGTAAGATGGTAGCTTTTCAGGAAAGGCCCACCAAGTTGCATCTCCTGTTAGCAAGATTTCCAGGATTGGGGGAGTTGCCAAATGCAGAATTCTGCCAGTGAGCTAGCACTTCCAGTGGAAAGGTGTCACCATGCTGTCTCTGCTCTCTGATGTCTTTCAGAATGTGCCATGGGTTAGGAAGAAGTTTCATGAACCACTGGACATTTGGGATACAGTCCAAGTGTTTTTTAATCAGACATGACCTGAAATTTTATAAAACACAATGTACAGTTATACCATGTTACTAAATATACATTTCAGGGTTTCAAGATTTGTTTGATTTTAATAAAGTATAAATTCAATTTACCTTTGCTTCTTTTCATTTGCATAACGCCCTGGCTCAATTTATCATTTAGTGAGGGAGATTACACCAGTACAGCCGAGGCAATACATGTTTCGTAATCACTTAAGTACCAGAGAAACTATAAAGAAATCAGGAGCACTGTTCTCACAGGAGTGAGAGGACAATCTGGGGCTAAAGAACATTATTCCAAGGGAAGTGGGAAAAGAATGGTGTCTTCTTTGCTCAGGCTACAGTCTAGAGGCAGCTCAATGGAGGCATTAAACACCACTAGTGTGTATTTCAGTTGTAACATCTGAAACGTGCTGCAAAACAGTATGTAAAGCAGATAAAGGTGGGATGTATTTTCCTACAATGTAGCGTTCCTGAAAATGTCATTATACAAAAGATGTGCTCCTTCTGGAAGCTGGTGGATAGGTGCAAGGTGTTCTAGATGGCTCTAAACTTCTATGACTGTTAAGGCTTGGGCTTTTAAAAAACAAGAGTTAATTTTCAAAACAACCATCAGTATATGTCATGCACAGCAGACAAAAGGACCACAAGGAACTTCTCCCACAGAGCTCACAAAATTCCACCCAGCTTTTTTGAGTCCACAGACATCCCACAGAGACACCTATGGCTGCCAAGCAGCTGAACAGCTGTCTGCTTTCCTTCATAAACAAGCCGAGCGCAGAAAACAGCCTCTTAAGAGTGTTAGAACAGAGGCTTCACACACGGGCATGTAAAGGTCACCAAGAAATAATGGCTCCCCCTACCGCTCCAGAAACAGCTGTGCTTTCAGAAAAGTGACACATAAAAAGCCACACTTAACAGCAATTGTGTTGCCTAGACATGATTTGTCATAGTTCATGTGATATTTTCCTTCAAACAGCTCTTCATTTCTTTTCCTTGTTAGTTTTGCTTATAAAGGTTTCAGGCATTTTTTAACTCAGTTAACTTGAAACATCAGGTTTTCAGAAGCACACCCACGAGACATGGTACTTATGCAGTATTGCTGTAATGTGAGATTTACACGCTTGTAGTGGGAGATAAAGCTGGAATGGGAGCTAGGGAAGACTTCAGAACTGGCCCTAAGGATGAGTGTAAAAGTATAAAATCTCTATGTCAGATCCACAGCTACTCCATGTGGGGTGTATTATGACAGCGGAGCCCGCGGAGATGAAGAGAACAATTGGAAGCCTGTGTTCCAGCTTCAGGGGCTAAGGGCCTCTGTAGGGTGCTGGCATTAGAGCTGCTGAATGAAAATGGGGAGGAGGGGGAAGGAAGAGTTAAGCACAGCGTGGATGACTCAAGCTTAGCTCATGAGTGACTGGCAGGAGAGTCAAGGCAGGAGAGCCCTTGTGGCGAATAGGAAAGGAAATCCTCTCTCTATAAAAACCCTTGCTCTATAAAAGCAAGCTCCAGATGAAAGCTCGAGAAAAATCCCAAAGCAAAAAGAACAGACTTTTCTCAAAGGGGGAAAAAAAACAGCCTGTCTGACCTATAAATGTATATTTGCAATGAATTATTTTGTTAGAAAAATAGTTTGCCTTTATGCACAGGGGCCCTACGAACAAGCATTTCACTCAACAGCATTGATGTGAGTAGGGATAATATATGAAGCAAACTGAAGCAGTTCAAACAAAGGTGTTTTTTAGTGCAAATTCTCTATTATCTTTGACATCTGATTTCTCTTGGAGAGCTGACTGTGGCTAGAAATCAATGAATGTGGGGATTGTTTAAGGAGATACATTTCTTATTAAGTTGGAAGCTTAAAGTCAATGTCTCCTCTACTGTAGTTACTGGATCTCTCTCTAAAACTGTTCGATGGGTTCAGAATAACTTAAAGCTCTGGAAACTGCCACTTATACTTCATTCGAGCCCCTCTTGGCTAGGAGAACAAGTGGCCTCTTGGGCGGATTCAACCCTGTGGGCCAGGCTATTAAGAGGGGAGAGAGGCAGGGAGCTGGAATTTAGGCTGGAGTTCAGCCATCTCTCAGCTCCTCGGTTCTCCATTCTTGAACAGAGCAAACAGGTTGGACCTGAGCACAAGCTACACCAAACATGGCAACTTCAGTAGTTCATCTCCCTCCCCTAATCACTTACATATTTAAAATATGGTCCTAGGAATCAGAATCACCTGAGAAGCCTGTTAACATACAGATTTCTAAGCCTTATCCTTGACTAACTGATTCTGAACGTCAGGATGTGGGGCCCAGGAATCGGCTCTTTAATAAATCTCTTGGTGATTCTGATGTACAGTCTTAGACAGACGCTTCCATGAAATCTCTCAAAGAAGCAACATGATACGTCTTAATTCCATTATAGTTTCAATATCAATGTACAGTCTGAGGCTCACTCTAGGTATTGGATAAATGTTTGTTGAATAAGTAAAAAAAATTTAAAAACCCAAGATACTAATAACTATTGTGAATAAGGCTAACTTCAAGGGTTGAGTTATTTTTAGAATTATATTAAAAAACAATGCAGGACCCTTGTTCTTAATGGCTTCACCTTAAGTGAGAAATCCTAGCATAACAGGAATTGACAGTGTGGTGTCAGGTGCTTTGAAAAGAGTATGTGTCACTGAATTACTTCATAGCAAATATTTCTCAATTTTGATACTTTTAAGTATTAAAAAACAGTCATCAAAGAAAGTGTTAATGTACTTAAATATAATTTTTGTTATATGATGGGACCACATCTTTCCTGAAACACTTCCTTGAAATTATTAAGGGAATAATCACATGTACATACATATTTCAATAAAATAAGCAATTTAATTTCTTGTTATTTGTCACAAGAGTGACTGATTCCATAAGAAACTGGCAAGATGATTCTAGACAGGTGGCCTTGTTTCTTTGCTAAACATTTGTTCCCTTATTGCTGACCCTGCCCATCAAGTACCTTCTAGATGTTTAAGCATATAAACTGATTTTAAGAAGATAATAGAAATTCAGTGAAAGGTAATT